TTTTGAAAAATGGTACCGTGTAGCCTTAAGTTATTTTTGTTTTTAAACTTTATGTAATATCTTGATATATGCAGTTCTCACTTGAACTGCCAACTATTTAATGGTTGAGTGAGCTCATTGAACTACCCTTAAGTAAAATAGCAGACCGTTCAGTTTAGCCAATCACAAAAGCTCCTCTCGACACCAAAGTCATCAAATTTCATCATTATACACGGACTACTTTGCTACACCTAAATTGACTAGAATTCGTTCCGCCACTTCTCACATTGCAAAACTTTCTTAGCTTAGATTTTTTTCACACATTAAATTTTAACAATTCATTTATTTTTATTAATTATAAAGTAATGTGTTAAATTTCTTTTATAAACTACTTCAATACAATAATTACAATTAGTTATTTTTTTTAACAATCGGCAATTTGAAAGCAATGCACGGACACACTCTAATTCTCAAAGTTAGGAGATAAGTTTTTGAGAGAACCAGGGTGGGTTCTTCACCTATGTCATATCATACTTCCTGATACCTAGACGCATATTACCACACAATAAAATTAAAATGAGCCCCTGCTTATTGGCATCTGGTTCACTATGAGGTCTGTCACCAATAGCTCCCCCCTTGTTGTTGCTTCAGACCACTACGTAAATCAAAATGAAAGCATATCATTGCCTATTAATGTCAATTAAACAAAATTAGCCATTTTAATATTTATACCAAGTATTTTATTAGGAAAATCTTGATATTCTAAACTGTGTCGGACACTTCATACATAAATAACTAGAGATCAAAACTTGTCTTGTAAAGGTATTCTGCTTATTAATGTAAATCCAATGAGGAAACAATTGCAAAACTTTTTTCACTGAGTATAACAACCAAAATGCCTTCTACAAATCAACAAACTTAATACAGTCTAAATTTAAGAAACTCGAGTATTGTCTTTGTAAGGGGTGAAGCAAGAAAACAACCTCCATGGTATATATATCTTCCGCTGAGAACTGGCTTTTGCAAAAGAGCCAAACAAGCCAAATGGCCCGAATTTCAGTGCCAATTACTCGGTTTATGGCTTGTAGTCTGTTTCATTGGGTAACAAGTCCCTGGAGGAAGAGAAAGATCGTAAAAAAGCGGTTTTATTGTAGCTGGGTAGTTTGAAAGCCTGTGCTTCCTGAACGTTTGCTTTTTGTATTTCTAATGCATACTTTCTGCGGCGTTCTTCATATACCGTCTTCTAAATCGTATTGAAGCATTATGTCCTTGGCTTTCGAGCTTTTGCTGCAGAAATAAATGCTGTTTTGTCATTAACAGAGAAATGCTTTGTTCGGAAATTGGATTGGTGTTATCTGAATTTTTTTGTTCGTCGATGGGGAAAGATAGTGTAAGTGGTTACGATGTAGAGAGAGAGAGAGAGAGATAACAAGAATAGTAGTTTCTGGGTCTCTAACTATTCAAAAGGCGTTGGTGGAGGGGTTAACTGTTTAGATGTTTATTACACGGGCCACTGCCAACGTAAAGCTAAAAGCTTTAAACAAATTTTAAAATTGAAATTCTTTTAGTTTTATGTTTTTGTTTGTTTTACTGTATTTAAACAAAATTCCACGATTTATTTTTCAATAAGTATGTAATGACAAAAATCGTATATAATATTATCCTATTTCCTTTTTTGAGTGCTTGTGTTAAATCATTATTTATGTCAGCTGCTTCTCAAACCGTGCACCCCGGTGTGGCGTAATCTTAACCGGTAAGCATATCGAAATGCTGTGCCAAAAGATTATTTAAAAAATTATTAATTTACTGAATGGAATAAAAAAAAAATGCAGCCTGAAATAATAAAAAAATACACATTTTCAATTATATTATATACTTATAAATGTATCAGTACTGCACTATGTATGGGATTAATTATTCTTCAATACTAAGTTAAGAACAAATTTAATAATTACTAGTGATCCCATGGGCTTGTCATGTACAAAATTTAATACATATCTTGATAACTAGTATGGTTTATAATTAAAGTCGTATTGTAGCTTTACTTTAAAGTACATTATTATCGAATTCAATGTGTTGTTATTGTATGGAAGGGGCCGCGATGAAAATTATGAGTGAAAATTGGATAGCAAATATTCAAAGTTTGAGAAACACTGAACTATGTTAATACCACATGAAAAAAGTGCAATAGACTTTCAAAAGACCTTTTTTCTGGGACAGTATATATCTAAGAGTAAATATTATGCGAGGAATTTTTCGGTAGCATTATAGGGATTTATAAATTTCTGCAATATGTCTTTACGAGAAACGAATCTTGATTTCATAAAAAGGGCAACAAAATATCTCATACAAAAAGCAAAAAAAATTTTGAGAATTTTCTGAAAACTCTCAAAAATTCCATAGTTTAAGACCAGTTGCTACTAATGAACCATCATGTAACTGAGTTGATACAAGTTAAATATGTCGAGGCTCGAAGTTCTCGTGCTGGTAAGGAGTGGAAGTTTGGAAAACGAGGCACCAGCCCACCATGGTTAGATATGTAGAGCGAAATGACCGCTGTTTTGTTACGAACAGCCTTCGTATAGCTCTTAAAGGCGGTATTAAAAACAAACAATCAATACGAATCCCTTAGAAATCAAGAATTCTGGTAATTGAATTTTAGTATATTTACCCTTTTTAATATCCTTAAAATTATTTAATATGATGCAAATTTATATATACCACTTAAAATATATTATATATATATAAATGTTTTGCTTTGCTGTACAGTATTGGAGTCCACCGCAATATAAATACGTGCATACCACTGTTTTAAAGACGTGAGGACCACGATAATCCACTACTTAAGATCACGTGCTTCATAACCAGTGATCGACAAATTATATCACGATTATTAGTGTAACCCCAGTTTCTTCACGCAGTACGTTATAGAAGTTAGTTAATAAACTAGTTTTCTTCCTGGTAATACAGCTGTGATACGTAGTGACAAGTGATAGAGCATTAAGGTATCTTAAAGATTAGAAACAGATCTCACCAATATTTGATTTAAAAAGACATGCCTATTATTTATCCCGAATTATGGAACATCATTTGAAAGTTCTTAATTAGTTTCCCTAGTGTAAAGGAGTTTCAGCGCCATTGCCAATCTAAAAATAAAAAATAATAAATAATTGTGCATTAGCCTTTGAAGAGATTTAGGATTAACTTTATCCTAAGATAGGATTTGAATAAGACATAATCCTAAGACCTGATAAATGCTGAAAATTTATTTGCTACTGGAGCACTAGATTCATCCCTCCTTATAAAAGCATTTGTTTGTTCCTCAGATATTTCATGTAACAATTATTTCATGTGTTAATTAAATTAAATTTTAATTTAATTAACTGTGCTTCTTAATTTTTAACACTACACTTCACTTAAAAGAGAAATTTAAATCTTTTAAGGTGAGTAGCTCTATACCAGCTGTAAAAAAACATTTAAGTTGATATATTTGCAAAAATTCAATAGTAGGTAAGCAAGGGTCTACCCAAAACCGAAAAACATGGCAAAAGGTCTATGAGACAAAATCTTTGGGAACCACTGTAATGAACAAAAAACTTAGCGAATTATTTATCAACTAATACAATTACAATGCAATGAGATTTTATTGAAAACGTAATCATTACTAATTATTAAAAAGAGCGGAATGTAAGAAAGGTTTAAAGAAATTAATATGCATATGCATGTTTGTAGTATACTGCACGTGGGGCTGTAAAGAGTTATAGATAAGAAAAACTGATAAATTAAAATAAAGCAATTTTAAGAAATGAAATTAATATGTAATAGAGATAGACAAAATAAAAAATAAATTTGAGTTATAGAAAAAGAAACACAAATACTTTTGCACATCAATTGGGTTTTGTACAAATATTTTAGTTTACTATTCCTAAAATATATTAGACTGTTAAAGAAATAAAAAATTATATGTTTATACAAAATTTTGGTCACATGACCTCAGATGAGCAATAGTCACTTAAGGTAAAATAAACAATAACCTAATAATAACTTAAAATTATATTTTAATTTAAAAAGTATAAATACTAAGAACAAAAAAAAACCATTTAAAAAGGAAAACATAAAATATAGTAAAAGAAAAGAAATGCATTAAAATATGCATTACACACCATAACAAGTAGATAGCAAATCAGTAAGCATTGCCTATCAGTAAGTGTTCATGAAAAAAAAAAATAAATAAATAAAATAAAATAAATAAATGAATGAAAGCAAAAAAAGATTACAAAATAAAAGTATGTTTGAATTATTATCAAAAAAAAGAGTCTGAAAAGGGTAAAAAAGGATGTAACAGACACAATAAATCGATACGATAAAAGCAGTTGGAAAAAAACTGTTGAAAAATATGGAGTCCACGAGCATGCGCATAAGCACCTTCCTCACCGATAGGCATAGAAAAAGAATTGAAATAAAATTAAAACTATTTGAACAAAAAAATACAAAAAGGTAGTTTTCTATCACACGAGAAGAGAAAAGGAAGTGGCGATTTCGACGGCGGGAACGATCTGTTCTGTTCTTGTATATTTCAGACAAAGCATTTTCAGAGTTACCTTCCTACGGAACGCAGCGCGAATGGCTTCGCTGGACAAGGGGGTATATAGCTCAGCAGCATTTCCGGACTGCAGACGAGAGGTCCCCGGTTCAAAACCCGGGTGCCCCTTCTTCAGAAAGTGAAGAAATTTTTTTGGCGATTTCGACGGCGGGAACGACTGTCCTGTTCTGTATATTTCTATCAAAAGCATTTTCAGATACCTTCTACTTAACGCAAAGAAATGTTTCTGCTGACAGCAAGTATGGTTATTTCGACTGCAGATCGAGAGTGTCCCCGGTTCAACTCCGGGTGCCCTTCGAAAGTGAAGGGAAATTTTTTTATGATTTTCGACGGTGGAACGATCTGTCCCGTTCTGTATATTTAGACAAAGGAGCAGATACCTTCCTACGAAAACGCAAAAAGCAATGGTTCGCTGACAAGGGGTATAGCTCAGTGGTAGTATATTCGGATCAGTAGATCGAGAGGTCCCTGGTTCAAACCCGGGTGCCCCTTCTTCAGTGAAAAAGTGAAGAAGAAATTTTTAAGCGATTTCGACGGCGGGAACGGATCTGTCCCGTTCCTGTATATTTCTAGACAAAGCATTTTCAGATACCTTCCTACGGAACGCAAAGAAATGTTTCGCTGACAAGGTATAGCTCAGTGGTAGAGCATATTCGACTGCAGATCGAGAGGTCCCGGTTCCTTAAAACCTGCGCCCCCCCTTCTTCAGGAAAAGTGAAGGGAAATTTTTTTTAAGGATTTTCGACGGCGGAACGATCTGCCCTGTTCTGTATTTCTGAGACAGCATTTTCAGATACCTTTCCTACGGAACGCAAAGCAATGGTTCGCTGACAGGCAGCTCAGTGGTAGAGCATTTCCGACCGCAGATCGAGAGGTCCCCGGTTCAAACTCGGTTGCCCCCTTCTTCGTAGAAAGCGTGAAGCGGTGTTTTTATGATTTCGACGGCGGAACGATTCGTCCCGTTCTGTATATTTCTATATGCGCGGTTTTTCAGATACCTCTGCTACGAAACGCAAAGCAATGGCTCGCTGACAGGGTATAGTCAGTGTGAAGCGATTTATCGCAGAGATCGAGAGGTCCCCGGTTTCAAACCTGTGCCCTTCTTCAGGAAAGTGAAGAGAAATTTTTTTGGCGATTTCGACGGCGGGAACGACCTCGTCCCGTTCTGTATATTTCAGACAAGACATTTTCGCATACCTTCCTACGGAACGCAAAGAAATGTTTCTGCTGACAAGGGGTATATATAGCTCAGTGGTAGAGCATTTGACTCGCAGATCGAGAGGTCCCCGGTTCAAACCCGGGTGCCCCCTTCTTCAGAAAGCGAAGGGAAAATTTTTTTTAAGGATTTCTAATTTTGCGGGAACGATCTGTCCTGCTCCCTGTATATTTCAGACAAAGCATTTTTCGGTGGCACTTTCCTACGGAACGCAAAGGCATCGGTTCGCTGACGTAAGGGGTATTCTCAGTGAGCATTTCCGGAGAGATCGAGAGGTCCCCGTTCAAACTCAAAGCTCCTCTTCAGGAAAGAAGAGGTTTTTTTGCGATTTTCTGATGGCGGGAACGATTCACCCCGTTCTGTATTTCTAGACAGTTATTTTCAGATACCCTACGGAACGCAAAAGAAATGTTTCTGCTGACAAGGGTATAGCTCGCGGAAAGCATATTCGACTGCAGATCGAGAGGTCCCCGGTTCAAACTCCGGGTGCCCCTTCTTCAGGAAAGTGAAGCGCGAAATTTTTGCGATTTCGACGGCGGAACGATCTGTCCTGTTCTGTATATTTCAGACGTTATTTTCAGATACCTTCCTTACGGAACGCAAAAGCAATGGTTCGCTGATTAAGTGGGTATAGCTCTAGTGGTAGAGCATTCTCCGACTGCAGATCGAGTAACCTCGGTTCAAACCCGGCTGCCCCCTTCTTCAGGAAAGTGAAGGAAATTTTTAAGCGATTTCGACGGCGCGGGAACGATCTGTCCTGTTCTGTATATTTCTAGACAAAAGCATTTTCAGATACCTCCCTACGGAACGCAAAAGAAATGTTCCGCTTAGACGCGGGTATAGCTCAGTGGTAGAGCATTTCCGACTGCAGATCGAGAGGTCCCCGGTTCAAACCTGCGCCCTTCTTCAGGAAAGAAGAGAAAATTTTTTGGCGATTTCGGACGGCGGGAACGATCTGTCCCGTTCTGTATATTTCTATCGTTATTTTTCAGATACCTTCCTACGCAGGAACGCAAAGAAATGTTTCGCTGACAAGGGGGTATATTCCTGAAAGTGGCAGTTATCTGACTGCAGACGAGAGTAACCCCGGTTCAAACCCGGTGCCCCTTCTTCCGTGAAAGTATGGTAAATTTTAAGCGATTCGACGGCGGGAAACGATCTGTCCTGTTCTTGTATATTTCTAGACAAAGCATTTTCAGATACCTTCCTACGGAACGCCAACGGGTTCTGCCGACAAGGGGTATAGCTCAGTGGTAGAGCATTTCCACCAGATTGAGAGTGTCCCTGTTCAAATTCGGTGCCCCCTTCTTCAGGAAAGAAGGAAATTTTTTTTTTGCTGATTTTCGACTTATGGGAACGATCTGTTCCGTTCTGTATATTTCTAGACAAAAGCATTTTCAGATCTTCCCACGGGAATGCGCAAAAGAAATGGTTCGCTGACAGGGTATGGCTCAGTGGTAGAGCACGACTGTAGATCGAGAGGTCCCCGGTTCAAAACCCGCGCCCTCTTCAGGAAAGTGAAGAGAAATTTTTTAAGGATTTCGGACGGCGGGAACGATCTGTCCCGTTCTGTATTTCAGTATCAGCATTTTCTTTGCAGGATACCTTCCTACGGAACGCAAAGAAATGTTTCGCTGACAAGGGGTATAGCTCTCAGTGGTGAGCATTCGACCGTAGACGTGAGAGGTCCCGGTTCAAACTCGGTGCCCCTTCTTCAGGAAAGGAAGGGCCTTTTTATGATTTCGACGGCGGGGAACGATTCGTTCCGTTCTGTATATTTCGGACAAAGTATTTTCAGATACCTTCCTACGGAAACGCAAAAGCAATGGCTCGCTGGACAAGGGGGTATAGCTCAGTGGTAAAATATTACTCGGATTCCAGATCGAGAACTCCCGTCCGGGTGCCCCCTTCTTCAGGAAAGTGAAGAGAAAATTTTTGCGATTTCGACGGCGGGAACGATCTGTCCTGTTCTGTATTTCTGGGCCCTATCTCTGGCCAAATCCAACCGATTGGCGGTGTGAACAGGTGGATTGCGTAAAAGTCAATAGAGAAATTATATCAGGGCAGACAGTATTAGTTTTCATCATCCACATTCAACAACCTTGACCTGATGCTAGGTTTCTGACCTTTAAGATATCTGGATTAGTTTTCGCCGTACGTCATTTCTGGAAGAGACTTTTTTAAGGGGAATTTTTTTTGCTTTTTTTCCCCCAGCAGGGTAAAGTTTTTTTTTGTTTGGTAAGTTTGTTATATGGTGATGAGGATCAACAGAGAGGGAAGAAACAGATATTGGGTTTCATGTGATATTGAATTAATTTTCTGGAAGTGGGGTTACCTGGTGCTTTTTAAGTACCGATCCATCAATAATGTCATTGTCAAAGGGGATTTTATTGGAGGACTATGAACTAGATTTTCTTTAAAATATTGAGGTACTCGTCTGTCTAATAGCGGACGAACCCCCATGGTGCAAATTATGCAACTGTTCACTCATAGAGCATATTTTGTGTAATTAATGTTTTATCTTCTTGTATAATTATTGTTTCATTTTAAAATAGTGTGTTAATACACTGGTATCTGGATGTTTACAGACCCCTACTACTTTGGGGACAAGTTTTTAAATGGAGATATGGGGAATTTTTTGTGGTTTTTAGATGTATTTAGTACATTTTAAGAAAAAAGCAAGTAAAAATTAAGAAGAGAAAATAAATTATTGCTACTAAAATGAGAAAAAAATGGGTAAAAAATTGACAAAATTACATAAACGGGGCCCGCTCTGTAAATTTCAATATTACCAAAATGAAAAAATTCTCAATTTTTTCAATTTTTGATGTATTGCTTGGTTATTCCTTTTGAAATCTTCAGATAAGAGAGATATATTTTAATTTTACAAAAAACTAGAGCACTCTGCCTTTAGTTGCTTATATGAAATTGTTTAAAAAATGATTATATTCCACACAACTTGTAAATTTTGTATTAAACAGTCATTGATAAAACCGAAGGTTTATAATACTTCTACTGTTATGCTATGAAACATACAATAAAAAAATTTCAGCAAAGTGAAGTTTAAAAAATTTGAGCAATCGCTGTCCCCGTTTGAACTTTCTTTTTGGAAAAAACACATTTCGAGTAAAAGCATTTTTAAAGTTTGACATCTTATGTAGTTATATATGGCATCTGCTTTACTAAAAACACTTGTAATTTTTGTTCTAGTGAATGTGGGAAATAAAAAAAACTTGATATTTTTTTAAGCTAATAAGATGGCCTGTAAAATGTAAAATCATAAAAAAAATGTCAATTTTTAAAAACCTTACGATTTTAGGTAGTCGAGTACCCCTAATATTAACAAATATTACTTTCTGTTACATTTATTTTATGACAGAAATTGTAATATTCGCAAGTAACGGCATCCCTTACATTATAATGGAGTTTCAATTGAAAATTAGTAAAATATTGGCGATTCAGCCTAGTTGGGATCACTATGGATGCTTCTGGAAATTACTGAGATATCTCTACATGATTCATAAAGTATGCTGGTTTTTTTGAGAAAGCTTGAAATAGTTAGGAGGGGCGTGGGTCCTTAAGCAAATCTCATTCTTGGTAATTTCATCTTCGAAGTTGGGGCCCACTTTTATGATTCATTTTTACTAACTATACCTTACGTAAAATTAAATTAATTACATGATGAAAGTCCTTTTAAAATTGAGTGTGAAACGTGGTGCAGCCGGAGTGGTCAAGGAATCGGATCGTGGCTGGACTTGTCACGAGTTCGAGTCCAGTACGACTAAAGACCTCGCCACATGTATGGTGCGATGTACGTTAAATCTGTCGAGAGCTCAAAAGTCCTCCCGTTGTGGTGTGTGGTAGTTAAGAGAGGGGGTGCCTGCTCATGTGTCCTGCACGTCACTTAGCCATGGTTTAAAATTACGTGGTTCGTTGCCAAAAGCCCTCCTGTAGCTGAACAGTGCGACGTTTTTTTCACTCACTTTAAAATTGAGAAAGATGGTAACATATTTTTAATGGAGAAAATAATGTTGTTCTTTTTATGTGAATATACTTTAAGCTTATGTTTATAATTGTTGGTGACTATTTTTCTAAAAATAATATTTCTATATTTTGTTTTTGTAGAAACACTCTACAAGTGAAATACAAAATATTTTTGAAGTTAATCTTACGAAACTTTAATTTTAGGTTACATTATTATGTAATAAATCCGAAATAATTAAATTACTGTAGAATCAGGCAATATCTTAAAAATTAAAGAAATGTGATCATCATTTTTATTTTAGTATTACAGTCGGACCTCTGTAAAACGAAGTCGCTAAATCCCGAAAAAAAAATCGTTATATGGAAAATTCGTTATATAGAGTTTCATCTTTCAATTTTCTTTATGAACCACATAAAACAAAATTTTAAATTCATTAACACTACGTTACAAAAAAGGGAATTATGTCTACCCATTTGTGAATAATTAATATATATTTATTTTTTATATATCTTGCCTATCAGAAGAAAAAAAAAAAGAAAAAGAAAATATAAACTGCAAGGAAAGTTTCTTTTGACACCTTCATCCACTTTCTGTAGAATTAAATTTTTTTCATTGATGCTCAATCCCTTACGTTTTGACATTTTCAAGTACAAGAAATGAAGTTACTAGTATAGCGGATCAACACTACAAATGAACG